GAGAGTCCATCATACACCACACAGCAGTAGTTAAAGTGGGGGAAGATGAGAGAGGAAACGAGGAGTCTACGCGTATGTTGAGGTAGGAGATGGCGGAAGCGATGGAAGAGTTTGAGGGTAGAAACTGTCCGCCGGGGGATGTGTGAAATATGGTGACTCTAGGAGAGGGTTTGATCAATAAATAGTCCTAAATTTTTTACAGAGGAGTAGAAGGAGATTGGCTGGTCACCAAGGTTTAGTACGGGAAAGTCGGTATAGGATCTAAGGAGGGGCTTGGAACCAATGACAATGGCCTGAGTTTTTGAAACATTTAACCTTAATCCGTTTAAGTTTGCCCAGGCACAGATTCGATCTAGGTCTGCTTGGTTCTTAGTAAATGCTACCAATAGCTCAGGGGGAGAAAAGGATAGGTATATTTGCGAATCGTCTGCATAAAAGTGGTGGCAACAATGGAGAATTGAGTCATGGAGGTCGTTAATATAGTAACTAAAAAGGAGAGGAGATATGCTAGATCCTTGAGCAACTCCAGAGGATAAAGGCAGGTAGGCAGACAATGGTTGATTAGGAATGGAGACTGCTTGGGTGCGTTGTGAGAGAAAAGATTGGAACCAAGAGATGGAGCTATTGGAGAAGGAGAGTGATTTTAGTTTGTTGAAAAGGATGGGATGGTTAATGGAATTGAAGGCTTTAGAGAAGTCAAGAAGTATAAGGACAGTTAGTTGTTTATTATCTATTGCAGTCTGAACATCATTGGTAATTTTGATTAAGGCGGATTGTGTGGAGTAGCCGGGACGGAAACCAGATTGGAGAGGATCAAGTTCGTTAGACTTTTCGAGGAAACTGGAAACTTGGGATTGCACCAATCTTTCTAGGGGTTTTGAGAGATTGGAAAGAATTGAGATTGGGCGAAAGTCTTCGGGAGAGGATGGATTAGGCTTTTTATTTAAAGGGAGTACAATGAATTTTTTCCAAGAGGAAGGGAATATTGAGTTCTGTAGGGAGAAATTGTAAATGAAAAGGAGAACTGGGAGAATTTCGGGGAGACATAATTTTATCAATTTGACAGGAATGCCATCTGGTCCTATGGAATTGGTATGGGATTTCATTAATGCGGTTAGTAAGTCAGTCGGGGAAATGTAGGAGAAATAAAAGTCATCATCATTAAACGATGACTCAGGAGCAAAGTTGGAAGAGGAGGGAAGAGAAGAGGTAGAGGAGGCAGAAATAAAATGTGAATTTAAAACGTCAGGTGAAACGGAAAAGACCAGTGAGGAAGGGGATCTGGAAGGTTCACAAAGGGAAAGTATGCGAAGGATTAGCCATTTAGATTTGGGATCTGGGGCAGATGACAGGGCTTCATGGAAGTAGGAAGCTTTAGCTCGCCGAATTCTTGTTTGTGTCAAATTGCGGAGCACCCTAAACGCTTGATAGTCATCTGTAAGCCTGGTACGTCTAAAGCGTCTACGGGAAGCATCATGCCTCTTCTGCAGATCCTTGATTTCTTGACACATCCAAGGTGCAGGCCGGCGGCGAAAGTTTGAGGTTTTTATGGGAACATGGGTGTTAAGGATATTAAGGAGATTGGAAGTCAATTGGGTCTCAACCATGGAGTCGATGGAGGAGCAGGAATATATTTCGTTCAAATCTAAGGTTTCAAGGTCAGGTAGTATTTTTTCACGGGTGAGAGTGTCTATCTGACGGAAAGTGAAGGTTCTCGGATGAATCAGAGGGGTTTGGATATTATATGTTATTAGGACCATGTCGTGAGACGATAAGGATACTGGCAGTTGAGAAGAGGAGAGGAGATTTAGTTCGGAGTCTATAATGAAGAAATCTAACCAAGTGTCGGCCTTGTGGGTGTGGTGAGTAGGATAAAAAGGAACAATAAAGAGATGGAGGGAAAAAAATAGGTTTTCTAGATAGGTTTTGTCTTTGGAATTAGAAAGGAAATTGGTATTGAGGTCACTGGCGATGATTATTCTAGGATAGAGGGGAACAAAGTTGAGTAGGGTTGATTCCAAGGACGGATCAAACGGAACAAGGGGAAGATGGTAGATCACTGTGTAAAGGAAAGGGGAATTATTACAGGTAATTTCTACTAGAAGGTACTCCACTTGTGGATGTTCGGAGGGTGTGGAGTAATCAAAGCGTATAGTCTGTCCATAAACGGCTTCTGCTACACTGTAACTCATATCATCACGCAGAGTTGCCCTTAAACCGATAAGAACTGTTGGCAATAGCTTCACCCAATTACCAGAATCCATGTGTGCCATAAGACTTGCTTTTAATGTTCTGTGCCATCTCTCCACATAGCCATTTCCTTGCGGATGGTATGGTGAAGTGTGCACTTGCTTGCGTTTTGGTCTGGTCGGTGAAAAATCTCTCGCAAATGAGTAATATGTTCTGGAATGGAAGAAGCTATTAACAAATCATCAATCATAACAAAGCAGTAGTCTAGGTCTCTAAATATCTCATCCATGAATCTTTGGAATGTTTGGGCTGCATTACGCAGACCGAAACACTTTCTCGTCAATTCAAACAGGCCAAATGGAGTGATTATGGCGGTTTTGGGAATATCCTGTTCTCTCACCGGAATTTGATAATAAGCCCTTACTAGGTATAGGAGTGAAAATACCTTCTTCCCAAAGAGATTAATTCTAAAGTCCATGATGTTTGGAGTTCCATAGCGGTCTGGAATAGTCTGAGCGTTCAAATGCCTGATGTCACCGCAGGGCCGAACTGTGCCATCCTTCTTACTGACGACATGGAGTGCACTTGCCCATTGGAGGGACGACAAATACTTTGGCCTACCATCTTTTGGAATTCTTCCTTAACGACTCTGTACTTTTCTGGAGCAAGTCTTCGTGCTTTTGTGTTCACCGGGTTGCCTGTAGTCTCGATATAATGTTTCGTTAAGTGCTTTACTGGTTGCGGTCTTGATGATGGTCTAGTAATTTCTAGTAATTTAAGTAGATCGGCGAAAATATGTTCATCAGGTACAGATGATATTGAAGATGGGACTTCATTGCTAACTCTACCATTCGATGATAAATGAGTAATATCATCGATTAGCCGTTTCCTTTTCATATCCACTAACAAATCGAAATGAAACAAAGTCCGCGCCAATAATAGGCTTGGGCACTTCGGCTCTAAAAAGGTCCATATGAAGGACCGTCTGAGACCGAAATCTAACCGAAGTTCCTCTTCACCATATGTTTTGATTTTTGTGCCGTTAGCGACGAATAAAGTGTATGTTTTCGGTACTAACCTTTTATTACCAGGTGGTACTACCGACAATGCTGCTCCGGTATCTATCAAAAAATGTTGCCCGGATTTTCTATCTTTTATGAACAGGCGGCGTTGAACATTGGCGGAACCGTAAAACGCCATCTCCGTTCCACCTTCTAGTTTTTCGGAGCCTGTTTGCTCTCAGAATCCCAGGCACAAGGCTTTATAAATTTTTTTGCTTTATCTTTGAATTTGAAATGATAAAAGCAGAACTCATTTTTCTTCTCAGATTCTTTTTTTGCACTTTGGTTTCTCTAGAACGTGAATTTCGACTAATAGATCGACCTTTGTGAGCGTTGTCTGAAACTAAAGTAGCAATTTACTCAGCCAATTGATCAACTTTAGCCTCGAGTCGAGCAATCCTATCGTCAGTTGTAACTTCACTTATTTCTGCATGAGAAGAATTGATCTCTTGAATTTTATCTGCTACTTCGGCAAGTTTATCGATTTCAGTGTGTCCAGAAGTTACTAGGATCGCCTGCATATTTGTTAGTAGCGACCGCATCCAGAGTACTCTCAAAAGATCGAAAGAGAATTTATCACCGGCCAAATGCTTCATGGAATGAAGAACATGTGATGGCTTATCATCACCTAGTTGCCTATCTGCAAGTAATCGCTGAACTCTTTTGCTTTCCGATTCCGCATATGCATTAATAAGTCTCTTCTTAACATCCTCGTAGGGGGTTGAGCTGGGATTTTTCACTAAATCTGCAACTTGCTTTAGAACATCGAGATCAAGAAGAGAGGTTATAATTTCATATTTGGTTAAGCTATTGGTAATTTTAGCGCGTGAAAAAGTAGTTTCAACGCGACAAAACAGTTCTGACTCAGTTTTCCAGAAATTAGGGATTTTTCTTTCTGTAGGTATAGAAGCTGCAATCTGTGGATCAATTTCTACTCCAAGCATGATGATGAATTTAAAATAACCTTACAAAGATAAAACTATGTATTAACCAAGTGAGAGTATTTTAATTGAATTAATTTATAATTGAAGTGAAACTAATTTAATTGAATTACTAATAACTATCGGGATCACCAATTATTACCTCTTTAATAACATAACTTAATAGGTAACGCAAATAAACTAGATAAACATATTTATTTTAACAAAATCAATATAACTTCACACGAATTATTGATTACACTTACATGTTTTAGAGCTCGGCCTTTCAAAAGTAATATTCTATTACATAATATTAACATTCTTTTGTTATATGATTAATGTTATAAGTGGTACAAACATTCAGTACAGCTAACTCAGTATAACCTAGTGTAACTTCTTAATTCATTACCTATTTATATCACATGGTGATATATTATCACTGACGCAGTTATTAATTAGAACGGAGGCAGTAGTGTTGCTACAACTACAACTACATTCACGTTCTTGCCGAAAAAGAAAACTGAACGCATCCGGAAGGAGAAGAAGAGTACAAAAACTAGTTTCAGACAATGTAAGTTTCACATGGAGTGCATATGAAGGTGATAGATAATAAGTAAATATGTATGAAATCAATATAAGATGTCTTACAGCATCAGTCTTGTTATTTAATAACCACACTTCGCATTTTCTTGTAATGGCGCTAAAGGGTTTTTAATTATTTATTTTGTTATCTATATTATAATTATTATTATTGAAGCTTTTTTTTTTAATAGGGCTATATATCTACTTAAAAAACAGTAAAATTAATTTTTAAAATTTATTTTTACAGTCTATGTTTCAAAAGTCTCGGATAAACTTCTGTATCACAAAATGCTAAAGACAGCCGATGATTTGGAAGAAGAAGATCTATGTGGCGATTGCCATTCAAGTATCGCCTCTTCATATGGTGGGGATAATGAACCTAAAAGAAAATTCACTTTTGAAATGGCTAAGCAAGGGGCCATATATGCCTACGTCTATGTAATATCCCAGCTTAATCATTTTTTCCTCTTAAATATAAACTAATGAGGAAATTTTAGTTATCATATTTAATAGACTTTTCAATTTGGAAGTATTTTTAATTTTTAATTCACTGAATCGACAACATATTTAAAAAAAATATATCTTCTTCTTCAATACCACTACAACCCATAAAGGGTCCTGACTTCCTCCGTCAATAACCACCATACACATCTTTTTATCTATCTGTTCTCATACACACCACCGTGAATTCGGCGAAACACTTTACATTCAAATTTGAGGAGGAGTTGGTCTTCATCTCTGGTTATGGTCCATGTCCCCGAACTATTACAAAGAACAGGACGAATGAGAGTTCTATTAATGACAAGTGTTGTTCGCTAGGTGATGGATGCTTGATTAATTGATGGAGAGATGCTTCCGGAGTCCAAAATAGCAGCGATTGTTACCTAATATTCTCCTCCTAAACTCCACTGCAACATCGTTGTTGCTGGTTACCATTGATACCAGGTAAAGAAACTCTGAGATCTGCACAAACGTGTAGGGACCAAAAGAAACATTGAAACCTTTCAATCTTGGAGCATGATCCGAAACCAAGTACTTAGTAAGAGGTTCATTAATTAGTCCCAAACGCCTCGCAGCAGCTTCCAGAGCAAGTAGTGTCTTAACTACCGCTTGCTTGTATCTTCCCAAAATTTCATCAGCGTATAATACCATCTTTACTGTTCTATTCCACCTGAGAGTTCCTTATTGCTTTTTCTAATGTCATATTAAAAAGTAGGCATGCCAGGGCAACCTTTTACCTTACTCCCCTCCTGGATAGAAATTCTGATAATCTTCGGTCTTGTACTTGTACCACCTATTCAACATTCTCCATGTCAGCCTGATGAGTCGTATGAGCTTTGGTGGAACAATCAGGTCGTATAATGGTTTATAAAGCTCTTTTCGGTGTATGCTATCATATGCCAAATGTGTCAGTACGTTGTACTTTCTTCCTCTCTCTAGTATAGTTGGAAACCTAAAAATTTGGTCAGTTGTAGATCTGCCCTGCCGGAATCCACACTGTTAATGACCAGTATCCTGTCCAACAATTGAGAGAAGACAGAAAAATAAGATTTTCGAAAGTGTTTTAAATACACAGGGAAGCAGAGATATTCTTCTATGGGAAGTATGGGATAGGTCATGTTTTTTCTCCAGTCGCCATACAATATTTTATCGGTCCAGATGCTCATTAGTATGTTGTGTAAGTGCCTCACTAGTTCTATTGATTCCTGTTTAAGCTGTTCCGTGAGGAGTGAGTCAATGTCAGAATCCTTATGATTTTTCAGGCGATTAATCACCTTAACAACTTCTCATCAGGTGGTTCCGATTCGCCTGCGTAAAGCTGGTGCTCCGGCGAATACTCTGCCCTCTCTTCCCCACCATTTGGTAGGGCCTCAAATTATTTCTTCCATTCCTCCATGCAAGAGCCTTATCATCGGTTAATCAGTTTCCTTCCACATTCATAAACATTGTTGGTGTCTGCTTCGTTGGTTTTCTAGTAGCGTTGACATTCAGAAAGAATTTTCTTGCCACATTTGCCGAACTTCTCCAGTTCCTCTAAGTCAGCATTACTTCGTTATATGTTTTTTTCTTCGAAGGACAAGTTCCTCTTTCTGGCGATTTCTTCGGTAATTCTCAACAGTTCTACGCGTTCGCCTGTTGATCATGGCTTTATCGGCTTCATTCTTTCTGTCTATCTGAAGAGAAAGTCTTTGATCAAGCTTTTCACAATAGTGACGCATGATTTCTTGTTCCTCTAGCTTCTGGAGATTAAACTGCTTTTCAGCTGGCACCAATACATGTTTTGGGCAGTTCCTTGATGTGTGGAATGCTTAAGAAATGGTCTGAATCCACGTTAGCGCTTATAAAGACCCTCACATCCAATATACTGCTCAGAAATCTACCGCTGACTAGAATGTGGTCGATATTATTTACTTGTCAGCAATCTAGAATAGTCCACGCCACGTTTCCTTATGAATATTCTTGTTTGCGAACCGGGTACTAACTTCAACCAGATTCTTCTACACTGCAAAGTTGATTTGTCTTTGACCACCATCATTAAACATTTCATGCAGACGATGTCTTCTGATTGTAGGCTCGTAACAGGCCTTCTTTAACCTTGGCATTGAAGTCACCAGCTGCTAGTTTTATATCTTATTTTGGACAGGAATCAATTGCTCGTTTTAGCATGTTATAGTTTTGAACAGCATCGCAGCAAAAAAATATATCTAGTGCAATATCAGTAATCCAAACTTCAAACCAAAACGAGCAAATATTTATAACTCTGTTAGGTTATATTAATGAATAATATGGTTCCATTAAGTCTAGGATCATACTGAACCAGGTTAAAAAAAGTAAAAAAAAACTTTTAATTTTTAATAAATTAAATTTTCTCAATAATAAATTAATAAAAAAATGTATAGTTCTATGGAATCTAGCTGTTATTACTATATGTATACATTATACATATCATTAAAAAACTCACCAAGAGACAGAACATAAATGTGATGTTATAATTGGAAAAAATTCAACCATACAGCCTTATGTCTCCTATGGCAAAGAATAAAAACCCGTCAACGTTTTGTCAATTCAAGCATCATCAGGATGGGATGGAAAAGAAACAACTAACATCACTCCATGACATCTAATTGCAAACTAAAGTTAGTTGTTTGTTCACAAAGGAGTTTGCGATTTGGTGTCATGGAGTAATGTTCGTTTTGAAATTTTCTTCTCTTCTGATGTCTGAATTGGCGAAACGGCGATGGGTTTTTACTCTTTGCCTGAATTTTGGGGGCATAAGGCTGAGTGGTTGGAATTTTTTCAATTATAACCCAGTATATATATTATTTTTCTCTGTTAGCTTATCCACTTCTGCCTATCTTGGGATATTGCTTTCCAGCTTTTTACATGCAGCTCTGAAGCATCTTTGTTGGTTCGATATATCTGTCTGGTGGATATTTAATTTATAAATTCAAAGATTTTTTCATATTTTCGCCTCAGAAATCTGTGAAAATGTAAAATTTAATTATGGTATAATACTTTTTGAATTCTGGGTAAGGGAAAAAAAAAAAAAAGGAAAAAAATTAGCGAGTTTTGAACTCGTTGGAAGAAATTATAATTTGTAAATTGAGTATTTTGTGAAGTATTGAGTATTAAATTTCCTACTATTCAACCTTCTTCATTATTGATTTTTACATTACTTTCTGTTTTGACTTGTGGTAGGGAACATCGCCTCCACCATCATCAGGATCATCTTTCATTTTCTATATTACTTATTTTATATTCACATTCCTTGAGCCATGTTTTTTTTCCACAACTTTTTCCAAAACATATTTAACAAGGAGTCATTTACTACTGTGTTTATTTATCCCAATATAACCTAAAGAAAGTCATACAATTCATAAAATATATAATATAAAGGTAGTTAGTTATATTTTAATATTTGAATTTTCGTGATTTATATTCATGAGCTATACTTAATAATTATAGGAATGACAGTATCCTATAAATATGATACTGTGTCATTCCTATAATTTATTAGTATAGCTAACGTAAAATAATAATAACCCTTTTAAAAATTATTATTATTTTTTGACTTATTAAAATAAAAAAAAAAACTTTTTAAAACGAGTTTTCTTGAGTTATTAATTATTTTGAGACCAATCATTTTTTTAAACTAAGATCCATGTTCCAGACTTAAACGTATAAGGTATATTTTCTTTTTCAAATTTGTCTATTCTGGTTTAAGATTTTTAGTCTATTAATTTATTTCATTTATTTAATTATTTGTCTATGTTTTTCAAAGGCTTCCAATTTATTTAGAAAGGCGCCTACCCGTCTTTCAGTTTTGTTTAGACTCCTAATGAAACGATACTTGGAAAATGACAAAATCAGGTACAAATGGGAAAAGATTCAAAGATTTCCCTGTGAAAGAAAGTTGAGTCATAAAAATGATATGAGAAGGGTGAGTTTTTACTTTTCAATCTATGATATCTTTCTGTGTCATAAATAATATTATATTAATATCATATGAGCTAATATCATTTTAATATTTAAAACTATTTATGTTAAATTACTAATTATGTTAAAGGATTTTATGTTTTTTACTTATTAATTTATTTTGCAGCTAGCGACGGGTTACACCAAACGTTGGTACTTCTATCCAATGGTAAGTGCTTAAAATAATGATTCTATGTTCGTTTGTATTTTTCGATGATATAATGGTCTATGACAAAAAATTCTTCTTCTTTGTCTTTCTCCACTTTGTCTCCAGCGTGGAGGTGCTTCGACCCAAGCATACCGACCATCACAATGTCTTCGTGGAATCCAGCTGCTTTTCTCTCTTATCCCCTACTAGTCAAGCCACGCTATCTGTCCAACACGCTAACTGTACATCATTTGGTAAGGGTTTTGCTACATCCTTGGCCTGCCTTTTGATCTTTTGCTAGTTGGTCTATGTTCAGTATAACCTTTCCTCTTGTAGAGGTATAATAATGTACATCCATTTTCAATATCCATATATCGTAAGAAAGAAATTATTAACGCCGCATACGCTCTTATCTTTATTTTTTTTATTGTTATTTTGTCTCATCATTTTTACCCTTTGTGAATGTAAATGGAATAAATATTTATTTTACTTTTTGTAATAGGCTGAGGAATAGTGTCCCTAAAATGTATATAAGTTTATGTTATTTATATATTTGGGTTTATTTTGCGATGTATTATCGCGTTGTATATACACACCAGCCCGGCAGTAATACCCTGTATTAGGGATTAAGACATCAAAATACCGCTGGGTCGTCAGTCTGGAGCTAGCTTTTTATGACAGATCCACGTAGTGGACGGCTACCCCCACCCGCTGCTCCATACACGGTGGGCCAGACCCCCTTACCGTGCACCCCCCCCCACATCCCTATAAATTGCATATCGTTGTGTTCCTTGTAACAATTTATTAAAAAAAAGCCAATGTTCCCACAAAAAAAAGTGAACGCACTGCCCCAAAATGGCGTCCAAAGATGGCGGATTGACGACTTTGACTTTAGTTAGTTTTTTGGTCACTGAGAATCAGCATTAAGCTTAATTTCCTCATAGTTGGTCTTTTATTAAAGCTGAATAGTTATAGAATAATAAAACATGAAGAAATATTAAAAAATAATTGGCTAAGGCTATGAAAAACACCAGTAAAGTCAATTTTTTTAACAAAAAAATTTTCAAGTTACAAATCAAACGTCGTTTGTAATTAAACGGCCTACAATAACGCAAAACGTGCTGAAATAAACCATCTGGAGAATATATTTCTCTTTCTGAAACGCTAATTAATTTTTACAAATGTTTAAGTAGTTCCGTAAAAAATGCACTTATGCGGCAGAAAAGCGGTACTGGCGTGGGTGCCTACAGGCCTCTACCACACCATTCAGTGCCCATAAATGGCTTAGTTATAGTGATATAATAACATTTTTGGTACATTATATTGGTTTTATTAACGAACAAATATTAATGCAATAATTTAATAGTAAAAAAAAAAATTTAAATTTAAAAAAAAATTTATTATTATTTTTTTAAATTTTAACCTCCTTTATTCTATACGTAGGTCGTTTAACAATACCTCAATTGTAAAAATGGTATAATTATAATAATAAAACTTAATTAAAAATATTTTGCTAAATATCTTGATTTTTTTTTTATTTAACGTTTGCAATTTAACACTGTGTTTTGAATATTTACTGATTCTTAGAAGTAATTAAAATTTTTATATACTTCCCAGGAAATGAGTCATATTCATACCTTTTTTATAAACTAAAATGATATATACCTAATCTGAACTATATATAATGAAAAGCAACCGGTTTCTTTAGTAAAACTCATATATCACTAATTAAAAAATTAATTTTTATATCCTCTATTTTGTGCAGAAGTTGGACTATATCATAAATAAATAGGAAATTTTAATATTGAATGAATTATTCTCTATGCACAAAGAAATATATAAAGGGTGACCCTATAAGTTCTTCTATAAACCAAAACTGATTGTTTGGATTTGATCTCAAAATGAGGAAAAACGTGAACTTAAACGAGAAAATTGGAAAAATACATTAAGCGAACGAGAAAGGAAGTGCCAAAACCTCGGAATCAGAGTTCTGCGCATGCGTTAGCCTAAGTTAAACATACGTCAGGTCGTATCTTACAAAATTCTTCATTAATAGTGGCAGTGTTCAACTTCAATGCGAAACAACAGTGTTACCTGTTATATTAACAATTAAGTTTGTTACTGAACAAAAGAATAAGGTGAGTAATCACTTATTTACAGCTCAATAGTGAACAGTGTAAATAGACCTCTGGTTAGTTACTGATAACGGCCGGCCATAACATCGCTAATCCCACCAGTGGGCTCTGGCTCTCCGTCCGAGGAGGTTCTGTGCCGATTAGTCCTCTCTAAGCACGCGTATATATTTCCGTGCTTAAAAAAAAAAAAAAAAAAAAATCGCTTCTCATTTAACAATTTTTCCTATCATTTATAATATGAAATGCGATATTATCATATGCTAATGTCGAGCAAGGGTAAAAATACTAGGTCCAGAAGCCTCGATACTACAATGAGTTCTCCTATTAAAAAAAGAACAAGACGTTCGAAAAGAAATACTCCACCAGCCACACCAGGGAGCTCTGTTGAAGAAGTGGATCCCCAACCTGGTACCTCACAACAACAAAACAATCATGAGACAACTCAGACTGGTGAAGAATCGCCGTTTTTCACTCAGAACCCATTTCCAGTGCTATCAAATACACAAAACGAAGAAATGGAAGCAGCACCCACCCCCAGGGAACCCAAACCCCCACCAATATTCCTTAGGAATATTAAAAACTTTCAGTTAATGTGTCACCAATTGAATAACCTAGTGGGCTCAGGAAAATATTTATGCCAAAGCCGCACCAATGACACTAAATTAATGCCCGACACTCCAGAAACATACAGAAAAATTATAAAATATTTATCTGACACCAAGGCTGATTACCACACGTATCAATTGCGTCAAGAGAGGGCGCTCAGGGTCGTTATCAGAAGACTGCACCCATCTACGCCAACAGATGCTATAAAAGAAGAGCTCGTGGGTATGGGATTCCATGTTCGCCAGATAGTGAACATATTCAAGGAGGATAGAGAACAGCCTGGAATAAAAAGTAAAATACCGCTCCCACTATTCTTCGTTGACCTTGCCCGTACGCCCCAGGTCGAAGACATCTACAAGGTCACACGCCTTTATTACACCAGCGTTGTAGTAGAAACGCCTTACACCAAGCGCGACATCGTTCAATGCCATAACTGTCAGGCTTATGGCCATACGAAAAGATATTGTCATCACATTCCTAGATGTGTGAGGTGTGGTGAGCAACACAAAACAGAAGAATGTAGGAAGTCTAGAACTTCACCTGCAGTATGCGCCTTATGCCACCAAGGGCACCCTGCCAACTACAAGGGTTGTCAAACATATAAAGAATTAAAAACAAGAATGTACGCAACTCCTAGAGAAGAAGGGACATCCAGACCACCAAGACAACCCTCTAGAACAGTGAATGGAAGAGTGACCTATGCTCAGATGTTCAAAGGAGACACTATAAACACTCAATCTCAGGCCCTGCCACAAGAACCTCAACCTCGAGAATTCACACATCAACCTCAAGACCCATATCCACCCATCCCTGAACCTAGGTTCAATACCCAGACATACATTCCTCCTCCTTCCAATTCCACTGACCTCACAAGCCTATTAACTTCTTTCCTCTCTGAATTTAGATCCCTCATCACCCCTCTTATTTCATTACTTACCAATGTTATATCCAACCTCATTCCACCGCCGAGAAATCCATAAATGTCCTCAACCAAATCCCTCTCCATTCTCCTATGGAATGCGAATGGTATTCGAAATCACATCAACGAACTGACAATCTTATTACATGACAAAAACATCGACATAGCACTAATAACTGAAACCCGACTAACCAACAAACGACAAATCAACATTCCTGGCTACAATATTTATAGAACCGATCATCCTGATGGAACAGCACATGCTGGCACTGCTATAATTATCCACCGATCTCTCTCCCATCATTTATTTCCCTTACCAACCCATAATTTCCTACAATCCACTGCCGTAATAATCCAAACTTCCCTTTACCCAATAACATTAGTTGCGGCATATTCCCCGCCTAAAATACCCATTTCCGAATCCCAAATAATTTCCTTCCTGAATTCCTTAGGACACCATTTCATCCTAGGTGCAGATTTAAATGCAAAACACCAGCAATGGGGAGCCAGATCCACAAATTCCCGAGGGCGAACATTGCTATCTGCACTTAATTCCCATCGCAGCAATATCCTTTCACCTAATACTCCCACATACTGGCCAACAGATCCCAACCGCAATCCCGACCTTCTAGACTTTTTCCTACACAAAGGTCTAGGATCATTACACTGTTCCATTTCAAGGCTTGATGATCTTTCCTCAGACCACAGTCCTATAGTCCTAACCGTTTCCACATCACCCATTCCTAAATCATCCCCTCCTTCATTCATCAGGGGACCAGTTAACTGGAACCTTTTCCGTCAAATATTGGATGATAATATAGACCTCAGAGTTTCCTTAAAAACACCTGAAGACCTTGACGATGCAGTGGACTCCTTCACTACCCTGATCCAGCAAGCAGTTTGGACTGCATCCTCACCTGATGGTCCCAAAAAACACCTCAGTATAAATCCTCTACCCCAAGACCTATTGGACCTTATCCATAGCAAACGATGCTCTAGGGCCCTCTGGCAAAGAACCAGGAATCCTGATGACCGGAAATCGTATAATTATTATTCCAAACAGGTTAAAAAGAAACTGGATATCTTTAGAACCCAATCCTACAATTCCTACCTTTCCTCATTATCATCTAGTGATAACTCCCTCTGGACTGTAACTAAAAAAATCCTTAAATTCCAATCCATTTCCCACCCCCTCCGCCGTGATGATGGTTCCTGGGCTTCGTCAGATGCGAATAGAGCTGAAGAGTTTGCTAAACATCTATCCTACACATTCACTCCTCATCCCGAACTCCATCCCACCCACACTGCTGAAGTTAAAGAATTTCTCTCTTCACCAATTCCTCTCTCTCTACCTCCAAAAC